GCCCTACGCCACAACGACAAGGTCATCAAGCGTGAGTTCGAAATAGGCAGCCTGGTACTACGCAGAAACCAGAAAGACTCCCGCGAAGGGAAGTTGGCCGCGAACTGGGAAGGACCTTACCGCGTCCACGGCACCACGGGTACCGGGGCGTACTACCTCGAGCAGTTAGACGGAGAGCCATTACCAAGACCCTGGAATGCTGCTAAGTTGAAGCAGTACTACAGTTAAAAACTGTCAACACCTAGGACCCTCGACCAAAAGCGACCATGCTCGGGCAACGAGGAAAAACGTCCAACTTCGTTTAAGGCTTAGGTACAGGCCGACACACGACCAAAATGGCACGGCATCGCGCGGTAGACGTTGACGATCTATAGTGCCCGACGTGGACAGCTGTACCGAGCACCACCGTCGTCGTACCCATAAGGCAGAACACCCAGCTCGCGATGGGCAGTTCACGCCAAGGGCGAATCGTCCCTACGGGCTCCACGCCCGACTGAGCAACCTCGCTCCAAAATGCCCGATATTCCATCAAGAATAACGGGACATCTACAAGGGTCAAAAGAAAATCTCTCCCCTCGAGCGCAGCACTTAAGCAACCCCGGCCAACCAAAATAGGGCCGAGATTGCACGCAAATCGTGACGAGCATAGTCGCTCGCCAAATCAGAGCCACCTACGGGCACTCCTCGGGCCCGGGACTTGAGCTAAATTCATACAAGCATGTGAGTTCATACAAGGGCAGAAAATCCAAAATAAACAAGGTATAAACGCCCGAAGGCAACAAAGTAATATTAAACCGACCAAGAAGGCCGGCGATGTTCATACATGCAATAAACGGGCACGCAGGCCCAAAGAATACAAATTCAAATATCAAAGGCACGCAGGCCCGCTATCCAAAGAATACAAATCAAACTTCCACATTATCACCACTGTCGACGCCGGGAGAGTCGGGCGGGGGAATGATCGCGCCACCGACAACCCGATGGGTGTGCCCGATGCCCTCGGTGACCAGGCCGGGATTTAGCAATGAGAGCTGGTCGACTGCAGAATTGAACCCGTCTTCCAGGGCACCGACTGCGTCCTCCTCGAGGTTCCGGATATGGGCAATAAGCTCAGCCCGACTCTTCAAAGCCATTAGGTCCTCGGGCTCGTCTTCGGCGGGTTGTTGAACAGCATTCAGTTCCTCAACCTGCTTGCCCAGGCGTTCGACTTCAGCAGCCAAACGATCCCTGTCGGTCCGGAGCAACTCCCCTTCCTCGGTCAACCGCCCCGACTTCTCCTTTTCCAAGGTCAGCATCTCCCTCTCGGCGTCAAGTATCGCGGTCTGCTCTTGGAACATCCCCTCGGAGCGTTCCAGAGCGACCTTCAACTTCCTTGAGCTCGCAGTCAAGGCCGCCTTCTCCCGCTCGAGCTCTTCAACACGAGCAGCATCCCCTGCGTCTTCAGACAATACCAGAGCCATTTCAGCCATTTTAACCAGCCCGTCCACGCTGGCGACCAGCCGCGACTTCCTCTCCTCCTTAGTCATCCTCTTTATAGCCTCGGCTTCATGAACGACCACGGTCGGAGGGAACCGCTCAAAAAAGCCCTCCTCCTCGAAGCAAGGGGGGAAGGCAAAGGATTGAACAGGGCCGGTATCTTCCCCGACATTCGAACCGCCTTCCACGCGGGTCCTTTTCCTCTGGGTCAAAATGGCACTGGCATCAATCTCCTCGACATCCGGATCCGATGCTGCTCCCGAGCTCGACGTCGAATCCACCCTCACCGGCTGAGGAACGGTCGTTCTCGGCGGTGGTCCCATTCTCGTCAATTGCGGGGCAGGCACGACCTTCTTGTTTCGCCTCTGGCCGGTTGACAATTTCAGGAGCCTCTCATGTCGGCTGGCCATCGTACCTGCACGAAGTAAAAGAAAAGTCAGTATCGAGCAAAACGCGTAAATAAATGACGAGTAAAGAATTTCAAACAAACAACCTAACAGGCGGGCTGCCTGCCTGTATGTTGAACATTCCACCAACGCCTTGGTATCGATCGGGCGAGCCTCGAATGTCGGGTAACCATCCTTGTCGAGGATATCATTCCCTTCCCGCGTAACCCATTGGGCGGGATGAAAACTGTCGACAAAGTTACAGAGAGCATCATATGCCCGCTGATCCTCCGTGCACATGTCCCCGACTGCGGTATGGAAATAGCCGGTTCCATGCTGGAAGTGTCGGGACATCCAGTACACCGGGAACTTAGCCCGACGTCCTAACACGGGGCTCCCGTCATCGGTCAACATTGCTTCCCCGTCATCATCGCTGACCGGCCCTTCCTCCTCGAAGAGGGAATCTACAGCAGAGTCGGTGATAGGGTGTACCACATACCACTTATCCTTGAACCCCCTCACAGAGTCCATGTACATCCTAAACAGTCTCCTCGACTGCTTCAAGGACACCCAGCTGTGCTTCCCTCCTCGGGACTGACGCTGTAGGTGGAAGACCCTAAAGAAGAGAGGGATGGTCGCCCCTATCCTTAAGTAGCGGCACGTCAGCTCAAACGCCCGGATGAAGGCGAGAGAGTTAGGGTGTAGCTGGGACGGGGCCAGCTCCAAATGCGTAAAAACTCCGGTCTCAAAGTCTGTGAAAGGCAGCCGCAAACCCAAGTCTTTAAACGCGATCTCGTACATCGCAAAGCTGTAATCCGGGTACATCGAACAAATTCTGGCGTTGGTCGACGGCAGCATGACCTCGAAATTCGGTTGAAAGTCGGGCTGGTCCTGCCCCTCTTCGATAGCGATGAACGGATGTCGGTCATCCCGACTGTATATCGACGCCGTCCCCCGAGGCTCGGCGCCCACCCATTCCAGCGATGGGTCGGTCACAGTGTCTATAAGGTTGGCCGACTCGTCGGCACTTTGTTCTTCGCTATCACGACGACCGGAGGAGCTCGGCTCATCCGCCATGGTTACCTGCAGAGCACGGGAAACCAATCAGATTGAGCATGAAGCCCTATGCTCGACATAATCATGTCGTCCATACACTACCACAAGTCCATTTTCACAAGTGGATGCCTCCCCGACTCTCCTGAATCCAGTGTTCTTCCACAAACCAACTGCGCGGCCACTCTTCAAGCACGTCGATCCGGGGTATGAACATGGCGAGCCGCATTATGAAGCCCACGGCCACGACCATAAACATACCGGGCACCGGCATGAGTCAGGCGCCCAGGATCATGAAGACCCCGGGCAGCTCTGAAGTTTTTCACCTAAAACTAAGAATGTGTCGGCCACAAGTATGCGTTTGTCGGTCCTAGACATAAATCTGTCGGGCAAAACACGAGTTTACCGGGCTAATCCCACATTAACGGTCCTAAAACACCTACAATTTCCTAGAATCATGCATTCTAAAACAAGAAAATAAAGAAAATGGATCACTTACTTGGATCAAAGTTGGGATTTGGCTAAGAAATGAAGAATCTGAGACGGGAAATCACGGTTGGAGAGAGTGTTGAGAGTTGCAACGAAGAGAGCACGGAGAACGGAAAACGTATTATGGGGCCCAAAGACCCTATTTATAGGGATGACGTGGAATACCAAACGTCACCTCGTTCAGCCACGGACTCCGTCTCCTCGACGCACTGCACCCAACGCAATGATGGCCCTACCCCCCTAGGGTGGCGGCACAACTCCCGAAAGATGCCTCGTATGCCCGACTGACGCGCCCGGTACGGATCCTCCACGCATCCACCACCGACGACGTCTCCGAGCACGTCACGAGGAGACCCCTCGAGGGTCCACGCCTCCATCCCGGGCACGAGACCTCAGCGACGGAACAACTGTTTCAAGTCATGGCTCCTCGCAAAGGAACCACGACTTGGGGGGCTCCTGTTCTGGACTGGGCCCGACAGGCCCAAAAGCATTACTAAGGCCCAGTCCAAAGGGACTCACTAAGGACCACAAAGGGCAAAGGGGGCCACGTCCATGCCCGACACCCTGATGTCCACCTCGACATCTCGGTGTCCAGCCCCACGATGAAGTCCTGCTCGACATCATGCCATCCAGCTCTGTCCTGGCTTCCAGCTCGACACTCGCCGTCCAGCTCGAGGTCTTGGCGTCGAGCTCGGCACCGTGCTGCGCAGCTCGACATGGTCACGAGCTAACTTGCTAGGGCAGACTTAGTCCTCTATTGCCCCAACGATACTCCGGAAACACCGCGTCTCCGTCCGCCCGCACTTCATGCAGCATATCCAGGAAGGGGATCACGTGCTGGTCCCCACTACCCACGTAGAACCTGACAGTTCCTCCATTGGGCCAAATCCGCCCGGCCCAATGAAGGAACCTTGGCCCAGCGCTGGGGGCTATAAATACCCTCTGTTTCCAGAGGGTCAGGTATTGATCATTCTAACCTCAACTCTATTATCTGCTAGTACTCCCACTGACTTAAGCATCGGAGTGCCTTGCAGGTACCCCCCCCTCCTCGTTCAAAAAGCCTTCAGCTCGGAGCAGCCGTGACGGTCCAAACCTTCTGATCAGGTCAGATCAGTTTTAATAAAAAAAAAATACTATGCTTAATTGAGCTAATTGCACGAACTTGACAATACATATAACTCTTCAGATTTGATAACGACTAAAATTTCCAAAAACTTTTTAGATTTGATAAATTTAAAAATTCAAGTTCCTATATTTTAAACTAAAAGAGACATTCTAAAAATTTATGTTCCAATATTTTAAACTAAAAGAGACGTTCTAAAATTCAAGAAAAAGAGGTTTTTTCTTTCATTTACCACTCTAAGATGGGAGAAATTGTAGCAACTTTTTGGTGGGAGTTAGGGCTTAAATAAAAAGTTCATACAGAAGTGGTGTTACACTCTACCTAGGAATGCAATAACATTAAAACCCCCGCATATAAGTTATAAGCAAACAAAAAGATAATGTAACATTTGTTATACAAGCCAGAAATCCAAGAAGATATAAACAAGCTGAAACCCACTCTATTTTCTTCATGGGGCCACCGGATGATCAATTTTATTCAGAATCAGAATCAGCAGCCGCTGAGGATCTAACACTTCGTCGTTTACTTTCATCATATTCTTGATCTTCCTCATCCACTTCCTTTTTCTCGGCAATAATACCTGTCAAATGGCAGTTAAAAAACTTTACAGATAATAACAAAAATGAAAAGAAACAGAGAACGACATACAGAAACAGTACCTTTCTTTATCAGCAGAACCTCCAGTGCTCTTGTGGTGAAATCATCTTTTGCTCCCAGATCTTGAAACCCTACCAATCTATCAACTGCAACTCCTTGTCTGAAAAAAGAATAATTCTAGCTAATAAATTGATGTAATAAATCAACTTTATCCTTATTTAGTATGAACTATGAAGCAACAATTAGTTTTGGTGCGCGTCATAAGATATCACTTTTATTTAAGAGTGATGGGGTATGAAGATTAAAGATTGTCTTTAGGAATCTTAAATTCACTAATATGTTTTTTATACCTAACAGAGAAAGCACTTAATCAACCGGGAAATTCAATAAGTAAAATATTTTAGTCCTCACCTGAAGAGTATGACACAAGGCAGAGTTTTGATTGCCAATTTTGTAACAAAGAACGGTGCATTCTGCATTTCACTTTTAATAGTTAACGTTGCTTTAAAATAAGTATGTAAAATGATACAGTTACATTGACTGAACTCTGAGAGAACACTAAATATATCTATTAAGTGTTCATGCTGACCTCTGCATCAAGCCTGATGAACTTCGAATCAATATGCTTTGTTGAAAGGGACTTTAAGTGCTTATCCATTATCCTGAAAGCATTTGTTGATACAACAAGAAAATGCACTTGTAACTGTTACTTCAGGTGTCGAGAGATAGAGACAGATGTTAGATTCAATGAGCAATAATTTGAGTAACACGTGAATAATAAGTCATACTTGCATCGATAGAACTCCTTGTGGTAGAAATGACAGATAACTTTTTCACTTCCAGTGACTTCACCCAAGAAATCCCCTTCAGTTACTTCCCTAAATTCCCCATGACCTTTCTTCTTCCATGCCTCCCGTTTCTCTGCTTCTTTCTATATAAAACAAATCTTATTGTGAATAATGAGGTAATAACAAACGTGAAAGTAAAAATGTGAAATTCATTATGCATTCTAGAAGAGATGGAGTTTACTACCTTAAAAGCTGCAATCCTGTCTGCATGCAATTTTTCCAATTCGGGATCCTGACATCACAAATGAGCATAAACCTTATATTAGAATAATGGGTTATCTACTTGAGGTTGATTTTTTGTAAGTGTCAAGCTTATTTTCACTAGCTTTCACAACACAGTTCTGCAGCTGCCAAAACTTTTATCGAAAGTAACACTGCACACACAAAACAAGCCTCAGAGCATTGTCTGGGCCTTTACAAAATGTAAGCAGCTGGCATTTTAGGATGCAGAAAATAATTTGATCAAAAGAAGGCCCGATGTTGAAAATACAACAAAATAGGTATCTCTGTTAGTGTGTATAAACTCTTACCCCAACTCTTGTCAGGCCAGTGAAATAATGTTTTTAAGACCACATCATGCACAAGCACAATAAGATAAAGCCAAATACTATTTTGTGTGCGAACACACAGCTGTCCAAAGTAGTCCCTTCTTCCAAATCTTACTGCAATGGGGAACTCAAAAATCTACATTAAGTAGAAATACACTCTGACATATAGATCTCTCCAATTTTCAGCATGCAGCAACAGCTGCATTTCTTCAGGCCTGCTTTGTCTACAGAACGGCAATGCACAGCTCTCTTGCAAAAAGGTCAATAGTTCAATCCTTTAAATTTTGTTTTATCTTTGTTTATTTTCACTTCATCTTTCTGGTTCTTTGTTCTATAAAACGATACACTTTTCTTGGAGTTGGTGCTCAATAATAATGAGGTTGTTTTGTGCTATTTCAATGCTCCTTTTTTGTGAAGTTCATTCAATTCTTTTTGAGATAGAGAAGTGTTTAGATCAGCTCACTTTCCTTGCAGGAGGCGTGCTTCCATAGACAGTAGTTTACAAGTTTCAAGCACGTTTACGTGAAGGGTGTGTTTATTCCTTTCAACTTATGTTTGTTTCTTCTAATGGGGGTAGTTAAAGAGCTACCCGCAACAGTTACAAGTTAAGCTTTCCATTTGCAATTAAGATGATTTTAATGGACTATGGTTATGTGTTTATCTACAAATTTGTCCCGGTGTCAAACATTCTGCGGTGACTTTGACATTGATTTTAGCTGGTGAGTTTCCTTGGTATTTTTATACCCTTCACTATGGCTGTTTCTTGATCGGATACACTACTTTGAGCAGATCTTATGGGAGCTTAACTAGTGTTGGAACTGAGAGAGAGAGAGAGAGAGAGAGCACCAAAGAATAATGGGCCACTTACGTCTGACCAATCTAGAGAATTTAGTGCATCTCATCAACTAGAGCAGCTGGTGAATGGTTTAAAATATATATAGCCAGAATTGAAGGAGAAATAGAAACTTCTTTACAAATCTGCATATTTGCATCTTTATCGGACTTAAACATTTTCTTTTACGATTAATCAACTAGACATGGGAACTTATGGAAAAATGGAGATACATACATGTATTACAAAATGATGTTAAATAGCACAGCTATAGCTGTGCTATGTCGCTACAGCGTAGCAGAATTTAGCCAAAGCGTTATTGTTCTGTGTTACACCATTTAGTACAAAATATTGTCAAATAGCAGCGCTATAGCACTATAGCATGGCGGAGTTTAAACAATCCGCTATCCGCAATTAACAACACTGCTGTTATATATTCAGTTTGGTTGCCATCTGATTAAATATATTTAACTCAATCTTGGCACTTTCAGTGAGTGACCTATCTATCCTTACATGCTTACCCACATCTAATATCTGTTTGTCAGTTAAGAATAAACAAATTTGTAAGACTTGAACCAATTAGACACAAGGAGAGGACCACTGCCATTGCAGCTGCCTAATCCATATTACCATTAACTTGAACAAAATGCCACTGCTATTTTCCATGTTTTTATCCCATTCGTTAATCTCAAGATCTTTTTGAATAGTTTCTCTTATAGTTTTTCTAGGTTTTCCTTTACCTCTTATTGTTTGACTACTCTTCATCTAATCTACTCTCCTTACTACAAAATTCATAGGTCTTTCCTCTAAAAGTGGGAAACTACAAATGTAGCAAAACAAAATAAAGCAGGTGTTCTATTTAACAGAGTAAACAACAACTTCCTTTGTAGTCAATGGCACAAGAAAGGTTTGCAATCGTGACCTATAATTAATAGTGGGCAGCACTAGTTTGTGGCATACTCACAACAAAATTTCAAACTCAACAGTTAATAAGTTCAAGAGTTCCAAGAAATGTAGTCTTATAAATAAGAACTTATTGCTTGAGTTTACACTGTCCGGTGGATGGCTTTCTAGCGTGTTACCAAACAGTACAATAGTCACAAACCAAAATTATTTGAATATCCTTGCAAAAAAATAAATAAAGTATTCATCTTCATTCATACCAATTGGACCTTGTGGTATAGTCTTTAAACAAATAACTCCCCACTTGGAAATTCAGTTTAAATACAGCTTGGACAATATGGTCAGTTAATTGATTGACACATGCATATATAAACATCTTCAGTTCCTCTATCATTGTCTGTATTTAAGTGTTTCTTTAACTTTTCATGTACATATACATTACATGACGAACAAAAGACATTTTAAATAATTAAATTATCAAACTTTTCATCTTTTTATTGACAATCTTATATATTGCCCATGCAAATGCACAGATTCTAAATACTAGAAGACGTGCATATATGATAAGATTGAGAAGTTTAGAAACATACATCCATCAAATCATCGAGGTCAACCTCCTCGTTTATAGAACTTGATTGCGCTGCCTTCTCTTCACTAAGCAATTCCTACAGGGATCATATAACAGGCATCACATAACCAATATATATCACATAGCATAAGAACTCTATAGAACAGCAACTTCAGTAGAAAAAAAATCATAACATTAACACAAGTAAACAGTAACACAATTCGTAAATTACGTTTAATTTATTCATTTTTTTCAAATTATTACTGGTATCAGATGACTGTGTCGGTGTCGTGTCAGGTGTTCATGTCTGTGTCCGTGCTTCATAGTTAATAATACATAAAAATATCTTTAAAATCATACTTCATAACAGACACCAATTCTTGTAAATAAAATTTAGGTTATGAATATCATACAATGTAATTAACAAATCAAGCAAAGATAACATTTGGATAGATAAAATAAGAAAAAGGAAGTTTCAGGCAATTAATTTAGGAATTTGTGAAGCTGAGGATTAATAAAACAACCTTTTGATAATTACGAGCAGCTGCTGCTATTACGTTTCCAAACGCGAGATTGGTGAGAGTGGACTTTACAGCGTCTGGATTCATCTTTATCTACACAAAAATCAAAATCAAAATCAGAGTTTGAAATAATTAAGGCGAAAAATTAAAAATTGTTCTCACCTTCGAGATCTGGATGAACAAGGTGCAAATGTTTGTTTAATGCGAGTGTTAAATTCAGTAGGCAAAAAAATTTGTTCAAAGATTTGAAGTTTTATTGATCAGTGTTTTGTAGATGGAATTTGAAGTTGCAGCGATCTGTGGAAGAGGGAAGTACGAGGATGGAATGGGTTGGGCCGTTACGTTCAATTTGGGTTTATCGATCTATAAAAGGCAATTTCTCATCTAGAATTTCTATGTCCACCTCTACCTCTAGACGTTGACTTAAACTCCTGAAAATCCAAAAATACTTTTAGGATATACATATTTAAACTTATTTCATATTTAATTTCAATTTTAGAGATTTTTGGATATGCATATCTAAAATAGTCTGATATTTTTTTTCAAGGTTTTCAGATATACATATCTGAACTGAAGTATTTTAATATTTATATCAATTAAAATCAAGGTATATCAATTATATTAATTGATACATTTTATAACAAAATAAATTATAACTAAATAATCTCGGTGTTCTAGACTTTGCGTTCCTGCGTCTCTGTCATTTATGCGATTTAACGTAAAAAATTTGATTTTCTAGAAAATCGACTCTGAATTAAAATTTTACAGTGTCAATTCATCCGGAAAAAATCACGAATCAAAATCCTCTATTTTGAGACAAAATATGGGACTCCACCCTAAAAACCCTAAATTCCTTGTTTTTGTATTTTATTTGATTTACTTTCCGGTTTCATATTTTTTAAAAATCTGAAAAAAAATATAGATACTTAATTTAATTTTATTTGATTTTTAGTTGTATTTTTAAACTTTTATAACAGAATAAAATTTGAAAATGTATATCTGAAACCATTTTTTTCCATAAAAAATAAGGTTTATTCGAATATGCATATCCGAAAATATTTTTTTCATAAATTTTTGTGGAATAAGGGTTCATTCGGAGATATATATCCGAAAATATGGGGCATTTTTAGAATTTTGTCAGAGGCCTCTAAGAAAACATAGAGGTAGGGAAAGAAATTCTCTTTCTCAACTCACCCTTGCTATATGGGACGCACTTCTGAAAATTCAAAAATGTCCTTGGATAAATTCGGAGATACATCTCCAAACGCACCAAATACTATTTTTTGACAAAATTTAGTTCAGATATGCATCTCCAAATCCATCCCTAGGATAAATTCGGAGATGCATGTCTGAAGTTATCTTTGCTATATGAGAATGTTTTTTATCACTCAGTAATATTTTTGGAGATGTATTTCCGAAAATGTCCAACAGAAATTTGAGTATATGACCACCTTGCATAATCATCTTCCTCACTTTTCAAACACTTCAAACTCCTCTATAACCAAAAAAAAAAAACCTTGAAAAAAATCTCATTACCAATAAACTTTTCTATTCAAAATCAGATGGTGTGCATTTTAACACATCAAAGGAAGCATCATAAGCTGCAATTTAAGGTAAAGTTCCCTCATTTCATCCCTCATAGCTTGCATTGATCTTTAGTTTGAGCTGAAAAAACGTTCACTTTATCCGAAAATACATATCCGAACTCACCTACATTTTTTCGAATATGTGTATCCGAATTCAATTGTTAATGTTTTTTTTTTTAAATTGTAATGCTTCTTACTCACTTTGTCCCATATTATTTGTCGCAATTGTCCATTTCACACAGATTAAGAAACACTAATAAATGAAAGAGGGAGAATAGTGATTTTACCAAATTATCCAGATTAATCATTGGTGTATTCAAATTAACATTAATGTTAAGTGAAAAAATAATAAATTAAGAGTATTTATTAGAGGGTACAATTGAAATATTAGATATAAAATTGTATTGGTAATCTAAAGCGACAAGTATTTTGGGACAAATATTTTTCTAAATGCGACACTTATTTATGGTTCACCCGGATATGTTTCCCAAAATTGTTGTACGTAACGATGTAAAACAGGATGTAGCAAAGGAGAATGTTAAACCAGTTGAAGTTAAGTAGGATATTAAACCAGAAAAAGTGAAGAATGATGTTAAAGTGATAAAGATAGATGTTGGTCAATGTTTCATAAATGAACAACTGTATATTGCTCGTGAACATATGCTTCAATAGGTCCACATGGTACCCAGGAATTTGGGGTTTGACATTGTAATTGGAAGGTCCGACAATGATTCAAATAGAAGACAAACAATTGTAACCATGAGATGCCATAGAAGTGGCACGTATGTTCCCACTGTTCGGAAGTTGAAACATGACGACACCAGAATGAGAAAGTGTGATTGTCCGTTTAAACTACGTGAATATTATAGTATCGATGAGATGTTTAAATTTAATATGCTTTTTGGAATACATAACCATGAATTGAAAACAAAGCTATTTGATCATCTCATTGTATGTCGTCTTTAACCGGAGGAGAAGGAAATCATTTCAAACATGTCTTTAATCAGAGTGGCGCCCAAAAACATACTTGCAGGTTTGAAGCAGAAACACCCAGAAAGTGTTTCAAATATCAAGAAGGTATACAATCAGTGCCATGCAAACAATATGGCGATAAGGGCTCCAAGATCCAAAATGCAACAACTTTCTAAACTTTTGAATTAAAACCACTACGTTTTTAGGTATGCAGTATGTGATGATAAAGTCATTATTCGTGACATTTTCTGAACTCATCCCAAAAGTATTAAGTTGTTCAATACATTTCCTGTTGTTCTCATTATTGATGAAACATACAAGACCAACAAGTATAGGTTTTTGTTTCTTGAAATTGTTGGTGTTACTTCTACGGAGAAGACTTTTCAGTGGAATTTGCAATTTTGGAATCCGAAAAAGAGGTTAATGTTACATGGGCCTTGGAAGTGCGCAAGACTTTGTTGAAGGATCAAGAAAACATGTTGAAGGTAATTGTCACCGATCGAGACACCACACTATTGAATCTGGTTGCAAAGGTGTTTCCTACATCATATGTATTAATTTGTCGATATCACATTACAAAAAATGTGAGGAGTCGGCTAAAACCCGTTGTAGGCACCAACCAAATCAAAGGTGATAACGAAAAAATGGTCAAACCAAGTGTGGTGGTGGAAATGATTATGGATGCATGAATCGGTATATTAAATTCATCCACAGAAGAATTATATGTTGCCTCTGTAATGCAATTTAGGAGCATGTGTGTCTCATATCCATATTTCTTGAAATACATTGAGAGTATTATTTTGGACCAAGTGAAGGAGAAAATTGTTTGTGCATGAATCGATCAAATATGTCTTTCCGAAATTTTACCTGATACATGATAAGAATGTTGAGGTCTAAAGTGACTCAATACTTATATAAATAGGGTGTGTCTCAATCCTTATTTATTGCACCGATGATAGCGTGAAAATGTATCATGTTTTTAGACCCGTTTTCGCATGTTATTTGATGTTATTTTGTTATGTTTTATCGCTTTTATATCTTCATCTTTTTGTATTTCAGGTATAAATCCATTATAGAGCAACTGCGCGAAGAAACCAGAAAAGGAACAAGAAAGGAAGAAAAATACAGCAAAAACCAAGTTTCTAGTGTATGGCGTTCGCCATGGGCCTATGTCGTTCACTATGGACTCAAAAGCCACGTTATCCACATTTTAAGGCTATGGCTTGGTGGTGGTCGCCATGATGTCGCAATTTAGACAAATAACCACCCACTAACAGCACTACTTTGGAGGTTTTTCCAACTTTCTCCACTACTCACACATGATCTATGGAAGTTACAAAATCAAATCCCTCCTATAAATAGACCTTGGAATTACACTTTCAAGGCATCCAAGTTTGTGCGTGAAAGCGCTGTGCATAGTTTTAGACAAAAATTACCATTGTAAAAGGGGTAGTTTTCTCACATCGAGGAACTACTCCACCATTAGTGTTTAGACCTATAATTTGTGTAACGCTTGGATCAATCTTTCCTCCATAATCGAAGTTAATTCCAGTTTCTTTATTTCTCGCATTTACAGGTTCTTTATTTATCGCTTTATTATTAATATTGTTCTATTTTATACTTGTCAAGCATGTTGTCTTTAATTATGTTTATCGTGTTTATTTTGTTTGAAATCTATTCCATGTCTAGCTAAACGTTTAGAGTATGGTATGTGAGGACTGTCGTTTCCGACAGGACTCGGTAACAATGTTGGCTTAATCTTTATTTTAAAATTCTGTTTTGGTTCTTGTTTTTAAACTTAATTTAAATAGCCTTGTCACGAATGTGAGAGGTTACTTAACATGATTTTGTCACGAGAGTGAGAAATTAACTAAGGTTCAAGCTGACACTGCAAGAGCGTGGGGGTCGAACCAGATAGTAAGAACGAGGCATTGATTCCTAAAGAGGGCGAGAGCGCTTTAGGTATCGATTAGAACTTGTTTAGTTTTCAAAATGTGTTTCTCAATTTGAATGGGCGAGCGAGAGCAAAATCCCATGGTCAAGGAATGTGACTTTATTCAAAACCAAGAGAGTGTGAGATATTGTATTTAAATTGATATTTTTCTACTAAACACTTTTCTAACGTCAGTACAAGCTAAGAAGTTACAGAATCCCTGAGATACACGAAATACCCATTATGGTCTCTCTTTATTACCATATTTTCCTATTAACTTTGGTTTAGTTTTAACTCCCATTAATCCAAGAAAAATATTTAGCATTAGATTTACATAGTAAAGGTAGATAACATTAGTTTGGTTATTAGTCCCTGTAGGTTTGATGTCTTTTAAAATTACGCGATTAGATTGTGCACTTGCAGTTATTTAACCCGATAAACTCTTAAAGTCATGATCAAGTTTTTGGTGCCATTTCCAGGGACTAATTTAGTCAATATTGTGATTATGTTGTTGCGCCTTATATACTAAGGCACTCTTGTCTCTATTACTATATATCACCAAAATTTTCTCTATAATTATCACTCGCAATATTTTGAGAAATCGCAAGATTCCCATAAATCTGACCTCGAAATACTAATGGAGGATTTCAATGCGTCACTAACTCACTCTCAACCAAATTACCTCCACAACTACCAATCCCAACATTCTGAGGAATTGCAAGAATCCCATAAATCTGACCTCGAAACATTAATAGAGAATTTCATTGAGACGCAAACTCTCTCAAGGCTAGAATCTATGATGGAGCCCTTTGTAGCGACACAAACTGTCCAAAATGAAGAGTTTAGAAAACAAAGTATCCATATTAGTGAAACCTTTAGGTAGATGAACGATGTGGTTGAGTCCCTCGTGACTCGCAACATGTCCTTGGAGACTCAAATCTCCATGCTTGAACAAAAACCTCTAGGACCTTTTCCTGAGAGACATGCAGATGTTGTAACAATCAGTAGTAAAAAAAACCAAAAATCCTAAGGAGAGTGATAGTGAGGTTGAAGAGAGTGATAATTAGGTTGAGGAGAGTTTTTGTGAGAAAAGAGTAGAGATCGAGAAAAATACATCGACACCATCTGAAAGGGAGGTTGTATAAGAGGTAGAGAATGAAGCACCTATTGTTGTTCCTCCTCCTTATACCTCACTCTATAAAGGTTTATGGAAGCTAAGGTAGACTTCCAATCTAAAACGTCTGTGGAGGAATTGGAAAATATCCACACCAATGCACCCTTGTTTGAAGTCTTGCATAAAAAGAGAAAGTTAGAGGACCATGAAACTAGGGAAACCAACAGTCTTAAGAGGGGAAGGTTAGCCTTTAAGGTGGTGGATGAAATAACTAAGTCCAAACTTAAAAAGATGATACTCATAATAGATCCAGAACCACCACCACAAGTTCAAAAAAATGAACCACCCCATAGAAGAAAGAAAAGAAAAGAAAAGGTGAGGGATATGTGAGATGGCTTGACAAGTGGCCATAGAAACTGAAGATTATTAAAAGTTCGATCTAGGAGTCATTCTCGAGAGAACCACCATGAGTTCTTGTACTTATGAGTCGTCGAGCTATCAGCGTTAAACAAAGAGTTGCGTGGGAGGCAACCCACGAGCTTTTAATTTAATGTTTTCCTTTTACTGTGTGAATTTGCAGAAAATAAAGAGATGGATAATTTGTCACGTCTCAGCTACTTCTAGGCGAAAAATCTCTAGATGACAATCTTGGAAATGAGCCAAGTGCGTGCGTACTTTCCTGTGAATATCACTACTAATGATGACACTGATGATGAGTATGATAGGAGAGAGTATGTCTCTCTCGTTCGTATCCCACCTTCTCCTCGTTCTTTGCATAGTCAGGTTCAACATGCACACACCACACCATATTTTTCTAATGCTTTTGCAGGTACTTCCTCTAGAAACGAACAACATGATAAGCTGCTTCAGAAAAGAGAAATTTCAACAAATGAAGGCATCTCAAACACCTGTTGTCGAAGCAGAAGTGGCCAGCAAAGACATGAACAATAAGAGCAGTATTATAGAGGATTTGGCACGCAGTAGCATTCACACGGGTTCTATCTTTACTTTTCCACCTTTTATCAAAATATTGAAGACAATGGGGGGGGGGGGGGAGGCAACCTTACGCTTTCCATTTATTGCTTCTTATTTTGACTTATTTTTTTCTAGTTTATTTCATGCTTTTAGGATTTTATTTGTTTTTCAGTATTTGGTCGAGTCATTCATGTGATGTCGAGTCTGTATGCCTATTTTTTAGTTGTTATTGAATTTCCCCGAAATTTAAAAAAAATTTAACCTCCAACAAATTTTTTCTTTTTGATGCATGCCACACACTTTGAAAGTATATAGGTTGTCACACTTTAGGTTGTGTTAGATAGGCTTGGGAAAGTCTCAATAACATCAATACCATTATGACACCCTAAACCCCCATCATTATGTGATATCAAATTGGGTACCCATTATGCCGAGACCTTAGGCTCAAGTTTGCAAAGTAGCTCTTAAGTAGTTTATATTAGCAGTCAGCACCATATTAAGAACAAATTGCATAAGGAAGCTGGTGAAAATAAGTGAATGATCACTAATTAATTTGATAAGTGTCTATATCAATTGAAAAATAGGGAATGCGCCTTCTAAGTTAGGTGACCCTCGCCTGATCATTTAGCCTAACGGTTATTGAACCAATAAAAACACAATCATAACACCCATTGTTATCTGGTCCATATGGTCTCTGGCAGTGGCGGAGCCAGCGTCCGGCCAGGTAGGGCAGCTGCCCAGGCTCCGTCCCGAAACCCCTTTCACCTCTACGCCCCTGCGATTACCGTCACCAATTTCAGAGTCGCGAATCTGCAACCATGCATTATCGACCGACCGCACCGAAGCAACCCCATCGGCGACCTCACTCCTCCGCACGCACAGCCACGCCGTACAGATCAACTCTGACCACCACAAATGACTTCAACTCTAACAATCGACCACCACCGCCATGTGAGTACTTCAATCTTTCTTCTGGTGTTTTCTTCATTTATTTTGGAATTGAGATGGAAAGGAAGAATGAAAGAGAAGGGATGAGTATTTAGAGAGAAAGTTTGAAGTATGAGAGAAAAAGAAAGCTAATGTGAATGTTCTGGTTCCATGAGTCATAAAGCCACTGTATTTGTTTCACCTCTTTAGTTCTTTTATTTAGTAATATTATTATAGTTTATAATTTTGGTTTAGTTTTAACATTTGGTTATTGTTACAATTCTAAATTACGTTAAGATTTTGCTAATGTGGGTTTAAGTTTTTTTTTTGCCTAATCTATTAGATAACCATCACACTTCCCCATTTTTTTACTTACACCCTTTAATTTCTAATCATACAATTGCTTTATTTAAGTCAATTTATTTAATTTATTTTGATTCAATTAATTAGATTTAAAAAAGGAATATCAAATCAAGATAAAAAAACAAAAAAAAAATAGATTTTTAATTCATCTAATTAATATAGCAAGAATTAAAAATATATATGTTCTTTAATTGGGCTAATTAGATCTTTAATATTACACATATTTGAGATTTTTTTCCTGAGTCAAAATAATTTAAAGTTCTACAAATAATATGGTGTCCTCCTTCGAGAAATTAAGTTGGTCGACATATCGTTTATCGGTTTATTATTCAAAAATCAAATAATCAAATCTCACGCGACTAACCAAAATTACTATATTTCATGACGAGTAACACGTATCAGACTCGCTCACTCTGCGTATAAAAAATATTCAACCAAACACCAAATCTTTTTTTTCTTCAAATTAAATTAATTCGAACAATTAATTTTCGGAAAGAAATACGAGTATATTAACTACGCACTTGGTCTCAATAAACTCCACTATTCACACTCCTAGACTACGTA